TATATTATGAAGGTATTTTTCTATTTTGATACAGATTTGTATCCTGTGCAAATCTGACACAGTAGGTTTGAGGGACATTAGCTAGGAATTTCGGGGTAGAGATTGGATATTAGTTGTCCTGATATCATAAGTTGAAGGAGCAAGCAATGTGAATGACAGTATGGTCCAAAGACGCTCCAGTATTAGGCAGTGTAGAAGCCAGCTGAAAGAATCACGTTTTCAGTATACTGCATTTATTTGATGCTAGACGGCCATCTTATACTGGTTCAGATCACTTGGATATACTCCCAAGCTGCAAAAGCATTACAGCAGTAATGCTCATGTCTCATTAAACAACATACCCAATGTAATCTAACAAAGTAGGGTCTGAGGAGGGAAGTGTGTACACAGACCTTACCCCTACCATGTGAAGGTAGAGAGTTTGTTTCTGATTGACCCTCGGTTCAATGAAAGCATAATCACAGCAGTCATGACAAAGAAATTCGGTAGTGGAGAAGCTATGGAAAAAGAAGCAGTAACAATAGCTAGCAAAATAAGATAACCGAAGGTCCGAAGCAAAAGAAATACGTAACAGGCAGTAATAGAAATCTAAGAACAGGAAATACTAGAATAACACTAGTACTATAGGTTTAGAAAAGAGATACCGACACGAAAAAGAAATACGCTTGACTACTTACTAACTTATTACCCTAATCCTCGACCTCCACACTCTCTTATCAAGGGTTATGTCCTCGATAAGCTGAAGATGTGCCATGTCTTGCCTGATCACGTCTCCCCGGTACTTCTTCGGCCTACCTCTACCTTTACTTGGACCCACCATAGTCAACCTCTCACACCTCCTCACGACAGCATTTGCGCATCTCCTCTTCACATGCCTGAACCATCTTAGCCTCGCTTTCCGCATCTTGTCCACCACACAGGCCACATCCACCTTGTCCAAAATATTTTCATTCCTAATCATATTCCTTTTAATATGCCCACACATCCATCTCATCATCCTTATTTTCGCTACTTTCATCTTCTGAACGTGAGAGGTCTTGACTGGCCACCACTCTGCCTCATATAACAAAGTCGGTCTAACAACCACTTTGTAGATGCGAGCCTCCATTTCATCCATCCCGCTCCAATACGATGCGTGGCATCATCGTCAATCTCCCCATTATTTTGGATTATAGCCCCAAGATACTTAAAACTTCCTCTCTTGGGGATGACTTGTGTATCCAGCCTCTCTTCCACGTCGACCTCCTGAGTCACGTCACTGAACTTGCACTCCAAGTATGTTGTTTCAATCCTGCTCAACTTGAAACTTTTAGACTCTAAGGTCTGCCTCCAAACCTCCAGCCTAGAGTTCACACCGCCTCACATTTCGTCAATCAGTACTATGTCATCTACAAATAACATGCACCAAGGCACCTCCCCTTGAATATGTCGAGTCAACTCATCCATCATCAAGGCAAATAGGAATGGGCTGAGAACTGATCCCTGGTGCAACCCCATCACGACATGGGAAGTGTCCCGAGTCTCCTCCCACTGTCCTTACCCAGGTCTTGGCTCCATCATACATATCCTTAATAGCACTAGTGTATGTGACAGGTACACATCTAGCCTCCAAACATCTCCACAGAACTTCCCTTGTGACTTTCTTGTATGCTTTTTCTAGATCGATAAAAACGACATGTAAGTCCCTCTTCTCCCTATACTGTTCTACAAATCTTCTTACAAGATGAATGGTTTCTTCTCCCTTCACACGCTCTTTCAAAATTCCACCAGGATCTCGTCTGGCCCGGTCGCTGGCTCATCTTACGCATAGCCCTCTCAACCTCCACAACCTTTACATGCCTACAATACCCACAATCTCGACGGCTCTCGGAGTGCTCCAAATCTCCCAGCACAATATTCATGTCCCTCTCTTCATTCAATAGTTAATGGAAGTATGTCTGTCATCTTCGTCTAATATGTGCCTCTTCCACCAATACTTTGCCTTCCTCATATTTGATGAAATATGTGCCTCTTCCACCAATACTTTGCCTTCCTCATATTTGATGCGCTTCACTTGATCTAGTTCTCCGACCCTCCTTTCTCTCGCCTTAGCTAGCATGTACAACTTCTTATCCCAACCTTTGTCCTCAACTTTTACATATAAGCATTCAAATGATGTCGTCTTCACCGACGTAACCGCTAACTTCGCCTCCTTCTTCGCGGCCTTATACCTCTTCCTATGCGTCCGTTTGTCCTCCTCGTCTTTTCACTCCACTAACTTCTCATAAGTGACCTTTTTGGCTTCTACTTTCCCTTGGACCTCTCTATTACACCACCAATCCGCTCGATGTCCCCAGTATTACCCCTCAAGACCCCCGGCACCTCTCTAGCTGCTTCCCTAATACAACTAGTTGTGATCCCACATACTGCTTGAATCCCCACTACTCCCCCAAACCCCCATTGCCATCAACTTCTCCCCCCAACTCCTGAGCTCTGGCGGTAATCAAGCCACCCCATTTGATCCTTGGCATGTCGCACAAATCCCTCTTTTTCCTCTTTCTCTTAATCTCTAAATCCATCGCCAAGAGTTTATGTTGGGTTGTAAGATTCTCACTCGGGATAACCTTGTAATCCTTACAAAGAACTCTATCACCCTTCCTAAAGAATAAGTAATCTATCTGAGTCTTAGCCACCGTACTGCGAAAGGTTACCAAGTGCTCCTCTTTCTACAGAAAACTCGAATTAGCGATCACCAACTCAAAAGTTTTTGCGAAATCCAAAAGGGAGACTCCTCCTTCGTTTCTATCCTCAAAACCAAAACCTCTATGCACAATGTCAAAATCAAAACCTCCATCCAAAAGGAAAGGTATGTTTGATTTCCACATGCAGTATCATACGTTGTGCAGCTATCACAGAATACACTTGAGAAGAAACTTAAAAGTGGACAATTTGGGCGGAATTCTAGTTGCAGGAATATAATCAGTCAAATGTCAAAGGAAAGATAGGCACTTGTAATGATAATTCAAGGGCACTTCACATTAAGTTTCAGTTTGAAGGTATGCTCAGACTTCAGGAAGTCATTCCAATGTATTGCATATGTTCCATTCCCGTCTCTCTTTTGGCCATGGCTATATTCTAGCTTTTATTTTAACTTCAAAGTGCACCCCCATGGATCTCCTATTTCTATTAAGAACCAGAATAATCTAACACGCCTCTCTCATGGATAGATGTATACTTTTGTACTTCTTTCATGTAATAGAAAGGTATCAGAAGATTACCTCAGGTTTCGGTATTTTGACACTTGTTGACTCTGACTCAGATGCTTCAGACCCATTCAATTGCCAGAAACTATCATTTACACAGCCACTTGATGAAACGACATCAGAAGTTCTGTGTCGCTTCTGTTTCTTTGCTCCTGGCAGTCCATCCTGCGCAGAGTAATTTGTCGCTTGGAGACGACATTTGGTCGTGGCAACCAAATCTTCACCAACAGTTGCTCTTGATCCATTTCCTGGTGCAGATCCTGCTGTTCGATCCATCATACTGACAACTGAACTGATGTCACTAATTGACGAATTCAATGCTTTTGGGGACATGTTTTTAACCTGAATATAACATTAGGTCAAATCAAAAGAAAGTTGCAAAGACAGATATATTGGGATTAGTGAAAGTATAAATTAAGTAGAACACTATTATACAAACCACTTTCATCAAGCGTTCCAATGATTGTTCAACACTTGACTTGCCTGAAACAACAGCTGAAACATTGGCATGTGTACCATCTAAACAAGTAAACTCTGCAAGCAAAGGTGAGGCTGATATCTCCGGAATACCAATTCCAACGGATTGGTCAGGTGCATCAGCCTGCTGATGCGTTATATTTCCAGCAGCAATATGTGATGCAAGGCCAGTACTAACTTTTACAGAATCCCCTGGCATTGGAGATAGATCCCAGGAAGTTGAAGGAGATGGGACAACAAATGGTGAGTTTGCAGATTGGAGAGGAGGCCCAGCTTTAGTAAGAGATGCCAACATATTTTGTTCGTCAGTTTGCGGCGAAGGATGTTGGGTAACCTGAGGAGAAAAGGAATTATGTTGCAACTTGGTGAGATTATTCTGCTGCATTGCTTCCATGGAACTCTGTACCTTAAGTTGCATCCGAAGAGCTTCAGGAAGTTGCCCTTGCTGCAGAGACAAAGTAGGCTTGCGCGGCCTATCGGAACTAAGAAAGAGATCTATGTGCTTCTCAACCTGTAGCAGTTTCTCCTTATGAGAAAGCTGGATATCTTGCTTGTTAAGCCGCAAGAAAAGCAAAATGTGTCCCAGCGTGATCTTGAGCATCTTGAACGTTTCAATTTGCTCATTTTGAGGCCGCTGAAGAAGAGAATCTAGCTGAAAAACAGAAAGAAATCAGTTTAGCAACAGCCTTGTTTCTCGCCCTTGCTAACCTTTAATAGTCATGCTTTAAGTACCTCCCACCCCCACCCTCCACCCCAGGCGAAGGAAAAGGGAGGAGAATTTAAGAAAGGGCATAACAAGACAAATAACACAGTTAGCTAGCAAGCTGCCCACAATTCAACAAAATGTTGACTTAAGTGCATTTTTAACTAAGCCATATCAAGCCCTTGACAAGAGAATCAGGCAGACCTTGATTCCTTCACCAAACTGGAGGAAACTAACATCAAAATCACATCTACTCACAGTGTTTAACTAGGAATTTGAACCCCAGTCTCCCATGATTTCATCCACTTTATTAACCGCTAGGCCACATCTTTGAATGCCCGAGCACCACCTTAACTTAACGATCATATACAGTACTTAAACACTGACAAATGATGCAGATGTAGGAAAATGAAGAGGAATTAACCACACTATAGTCGAATCCCACTATAAAGGCAAGGTTTCTTAAGTTAACAGGAAAGGGACCAAAGATTCAAACACGGGCATCTAGATTTTCAAATTTTCTGAAGCAAAACTTCAGTTAGATCATTTTCTAGGATTAACTATGCGCATCTCAAGGAGTTTGTATCAAATATATAAATTCTATAAAACATATGTGCTAAGGAACAATCATAAGTGTGAGAAAATTGGAAGAAGGGTGGGGAACGGGCCCATCACAGAGTTTCGAACCATGAGCCACTGGCCTTCAAGGATTTTTCAGTTATAAAAGAAAGTATCGTCCCCATAAGGAAAAAGATAAGAAGGGAGATAAGACACCACTATAGTGCCTCAATGTAGCCAATTAGATATCTATGGTCAGTTTCCCAAGGGAAAAAAAAGCATGATACAATGAGGATGCAACAAATAAATTAAAATAGAATATTCAAATGGATAAGCGTTGGGGAGGCAATATACAAATAGAAGATCCTAACAAAGTGAAGGGCAAGAACTATAAAACAATTGCGAGACTAGCACCGCTATATGAATATTCGACTTTTAAGGCCCAACATATCGACAAGATAAGTGCCGTGGAAATGCAGACGTTAAAATAGATTTTCATACTATTTAATAAAAAATTCAGTAGTGCTTACATTTGACAAAGGGTACAACTAGCACAGCAAGCATAACATAAGAGAATGTCGCTTAAGATGGCTTTAACCCACGATGTTATAGCCATGTCTTTAGTGGACCTCCAAAGACCAAAAGAATCAGTTCATAGGTGGGCATTATGACGATTAAAGGTAGTAGAAAGAGAGACAAAAAATCCATTGAGGATATTACCTCAAGACCTACGATCTCCTGGAATCAATGCCAACTTAGTTAAAACTGTAACAATAAATTTAAAAAATTTATATAAACGATACCAACTTGTTAAAAGCTTATTCATTGTTATTAACACATATATTAGGTTAGTCGTTTGCCATGAGTCCTATTATTCTAGTTAGACTTGTACGGTGGGTGGGAGCGAGTGAAATTTAAAAAACCCAAATTTTCCTTAAAAGACAAACTATTTACTATTGGAGTGAAACGAGCCTGAATTTAACAGAATGGATACAGATGATTCGTATAGCCAACTTCAACAACTTTGGGATTGAAGTATAATTTAATGAGAACTATGGACATCACAAACTGCATCAAGATCTAGATCCGCAGGTAGAATTGCTTCAGATATGATAATAATGGATTAAATGCAGATATATACCTGTTGCATTTTAGAAGCAATTTTCTGGTATAGATAATTGAGCTTTGATAAATACATCTCCTTCATAAACTTGATCTGCATTAAAATTTTCATCAAGTCAATTACAAAAATTCTAAGACTGCATTTCCATGTGTACTTGTCCCCCAAAAAAAAAAAGACTGCATTTCCATGTGAATGATAGGTGATAATTAGATCAACGTGGTATGAAGCTTGATGGTTAGAGAAAATACCTAGAGAATCTTCAGGAGAGAACCTTAAGGCTAAAAGTGAAGTAGAAAGGAAGTTACAACTGATTACAGAATCCATTTTGCACAATTTAGCATATGAAGTCTAAGAAGAGTAGACTTGGAGCAATGGTAAAGTTGTCTTCGTGTGACCTATAGGTCAGGGGTTCGAGTCGTAAAATTAGCCTCGATGCTCGCATCAGGGTAGGCTGCTTACGTCACACCCCCTTGGGTGCAGTCTTTTCTCGGACCCTGCCTGAACGTGACATGCTTCGTGCACCGGACTGCCCAACATGTGAAGTGTAAAATAAGCAACTGAACTTTGCTCTAGCTTCTTTATACACATTTCAGCTCATATCAAGTGATAGCATTCAAAGGATGCGCTCAAAAGTTCATAAATACTTCCATGTGACTGTGACATCATTGGAAACAAATATGGAGCCGATTTTGGAAGAATTGAGATTGAAGCCGCGACTTCAAGCTTGAAGCCATGGCTCACAAGACAAAAACTGCAAGAGTGGTGTCTTAGAGTTGAAGTCCTTTCCTCACAAAGCAAAAGCTGCAAGATTGGTGTCTCAGAGTTGAGTTCATGGCCTCAAACTTGAAGTCGTGGCCTCAAGGGATTTTCCACTCACCAGACAGTTGAGCGCGTGGTCAGGACGTCTGGCGAGATTTTTGCTTATGTAAGGGCAAACTTGTATGTTGGCACACTTTAGAAGGAACTATAGACATTAGAACCTTATACTTGCTTCTCATTAGTTAGTTTTTAGTTTATGGAGGAGTTTAGACTTTAGAGGCTCAGCCTAAGTTCAACGTTTGTAAGCGTAGGGCTTGATCCCATATTCTTCTTGAACGTCAACTTGAATCTTTAGGGTAGGGATGGGCCTATTATTCACCGAGTCTCGGAGATTTCTCCATTACCAAAAAACAGTCATATATAATTTCTTCGATTTCGACATCCTTTGCAAATTAAAATACCATTGCAAACAGTACCTTTTGGTAAACCTCCTGCCAATCAGCTCCAATTGCATTTCCCCTCAGAACTGTAGAATCTAAAGATGCTACAAAATACAAATAAACCAGAAATTGAGGATAGCACTAATATTAAAGAATTTGACTCATTACAGATTCCAAATTCGGGCAATTATTGGGGATATAAACATACTGTCAGATATTACAGGAAATATTCACATATCTTAATCACCATCCAAATGGACTTGTCAACGAAAGTTAAATACTCACTATAGACTAGTATATTGACTGTGTATTTGGTAATGTGCTAATATTCCATAATTAAGCTTTCCGCCTTTTAACTGAAAATAAAATGCATCTTTTGCATCACATTTTTTCTGAGTTGCATAATGGTTTGTATGGTTAAAGCTGATCAAAACTGCAAATGACACTTGGTCACTTTCTCCACGCCTCCTAAATAATTGGTTTTACTTCTTATTAAAAAAAAGTGTAAACCAGTGGTTAAATAGTGTAGAAGTCCTAATTCTTCACATAGAAGGCATGAGAAGTGGAAATTTCTAAGAATGGCGAACTGCTAAGGAATGATGGATGAGACCTAATTGAAGCTTTTATTAAGAAAAATACATACTTGATGAAGCTTCTGGTGTGGCTCTTTGTAGTTGATATAGCTCCTTCTGCTGTTGAAGCAACGGGCTTGATGCTTGAATACTCTGTTGCATTTCCCTTGGAAATTGATTCGTCTGTTGCTGCAAACCCAAAGGTGGTCGTGATTGACTCTGCGGCGTCATTTGCTGTTGTGCAGGCTGTGACTGTGATTGTTGACGTTGACTTGGTAACACGGTTGCAGCGCTCTGTAGCGTTTGCCGTTGTACAGGAATTTTTGATAGTTGCAACATATGGATAGGATGCCGATTACAATACAAGCCAGAGTTAACAGGTTGACTTTCAGTCAACTGTTGCTGCTGGATTCCAGATATATTACTTTGAGAACCCAACTGCTGCTGATGCATATTTCTCTGAGTAGGCTGTAGAAGGTTTTGTCGCTGTTGATGCTGCTCCTCCTGTGACTGTGGCTGTTGTTTCTGCTGTTCATGTTGTATCAAGGACTGTGGTGTGTTTCCCAGCTGAAATTTCTTCTTAATCATTTGACGATGTAGCTGCTGCTGATAAAGATATCGTTGTGTTGTCTGGAATTGCTGCTGTTGCTGTTGAGAAGCAACCTGTTGTTGTCTTCCCTGCATCTGCCTCTGAGAATTACTAACCATATTAGGAGGCACGACTTGATCAACATTTGGCATGGTTTGCATGGTTTGAAAATTTGAATTCCGGCCAATGACATTTGGCATGGTAGCTTGAGTTAAGTTGCCCAAAGGAGGAAGTGCTGGGCTCAAACTAACACAATTTTGGGATGCCATGTTGTTCTGAATGTTCTGCAGCAACACTGGTCGCTTTGTTTGAGTTTCATTGGCCACCATAGGTACAGGAAGTTGCTGTGCTTGGCTGTTAACTTGGGAATGCATGGTGCAGGATCCTACACAATTCACAAAAATTAATCAATTGCTTTCAAATAAACAAACATAATAATTTAGCAGTAAAATACATACAAGCAGCAAAAGAAAGAAAGTATATTGTAGTTAAAGATACGAGAAACAGAAGCAATAGCTTTGTGTTCCAAAACATTAAATGAGAACTTTGTCTAAGTTCATGTTAGATAAATATACAATAGTGTTCCTTTCTGTTCCTTTTTTTCGGGTAGCTAATAATGGAAACATAATAGTCAGATCGTAGAGAACAGTACTTTAAGGGGCTAGGACTCTGACCTAGAGCACAAACAATATTTACTAAGACTAATCACCTAAAATAGCTCAGATAACACAAAGATTAGAACAATGGTTCAAGCATCTGCAATTTCCCGTACATATTGTAGCTACAGAGAAAAAGTATTTTCAACAGCAGAACGAAGTAATTAGGTGTATACAAAGCATCCAATCAGACAAAGATCTGATCCTGTGAAAATATAGCACATGAAGTTTCATTGTTCACCTGGGCCATGGGCATTCTGACCACTAGTAACAGCACTGGGTTGTATAGAATCGGGATATTGAAATTTCGTCAACTTAGTCAGCATCTTTGAAAACCTTTGCAGATAATCTTGCTGAAATATTGGATAAATTTGAGTTAAAAATGCACGTTAAGACAAGCAAGAATAACAAATTAAACAATGTGGAAAACAATTGCATTATGCAGACAAATAGAAACAAGTATAGACCGCATACTTTACTCGTGGCAGCAGTATGGATCATATCCTCAAACCTCATTGCTATTTTCTTAAGCTCCTGAGCTCCTTCTTGTCCAGAGACAGGAAGACGACCCTTAATGTTCTCCATTCTATACAGCCATATCAACAAAAAATTTAGATTTAAAGAGCACAACCTAACCTAGATAAATGTTTTTTAAAGATAAAAATATTTTAAGAAATTGATAAACACAATAGAACCATGGGGCAGTGATTTCTTTCCATTTGCTGTCCGAGCAGGTATGGACAGTTGGACACCACGGTTATAAGAAAAAAAATTGATAAACACAAAGGAACCCTGAAATCCAAAATCTTTGACGAAAGAAAGCAAGTACAAGTTGCAGAAAAATAATACTCCTACTACTATAAATATATTACATTTTGTTGACAATCCGTTGACGAGAATCGGGTTGAAGTTGAGTCCGCCAATCAGCGGTGTCCATAGCTCCGGCTGCTGGGGCGGTACCCTGAGCAGCCCTCCAATTATTACCATCCATCTGAATTCCTGAACTTATCAAATTCTTTCTTCTAATAAATCAGCAGTGTTCGTTGCCTATACATGCTAAAAGTTTTGTCACCGAATAAGGGTGTCCCTGTGTATTCTTCCTTTCTCCCTTAATAAATTCGTAAAATATAACACTAATGAAAGAACCATTAAGTAGAGCAGTTGACGTTTATATTAACCTTTTTTAATTCAGAGTTGAATTTTTTATTTTAGGATTGTAACCAGTGAAATTGTGCGCGCTTCCAATTATAAAAACTATTTTATCTTATAAGTACAAAAATTGTAGATATCGTGGAAAAAAATACAAAAGACTTTGTTATTGTAAATAAGTAAAATAAAAGTATATATA